TTTCATCCAACAGCTGCACAATACATGTTCTTCTTAGTTCATGGGTCATTTTAAAGGACTGGCTTTATGTACAAAATGGAGCCAGGGCATTACACCACTGGGCTCTAGTCTGAGTGACAGAGCAAGACCTCTTCCTCAGAAAGAAAAAGGATATTAAAAAACTCGAAACAGCCAAGTGCGGTGACTCACTCCTGTAAACCCAGCACTTGGGAGGCTGAGGCGTGTGTATTGTCTGAGCTCACAGGTTTGAAACCAGCCTGAGCCAGAGCAAGACCTCATCTTTAAAAATAGCCGAGCATTGTGGTGGATGTCTGTAGTCCCAGCTACTTGGGAGGCTGAGGCAAGAGAATCACTAAAGCCCAGGAGTTTGAGGTGCTGTTAGCTATGACGCTGCGGCACTCTACCAAGGGTGACAAAATGAGACTCTGTCTCAAAAAAAAAAAAAAGATTTTTCATGCTCATGAATCTATATGATTAAAAAGTCCATACTACCCAAAGCAATTTACAGATTCAATGCAATCCCCATCAAAATAATAGTGATGTTCACAGAAATAGAAAAAAAAACCCTAAAATTTGTAAGGAAAGACAAAACACCCAGAATAGCCAAAACCATCCTGAACAAAAAGAACGAAACTGAAGGAATCACATTATCTGACTTCAAATTGTACTACAGAGGTGTACTAACCAAAACATTCATGGTACTAGCATAAAAACAGACACATAGACTAATGGAACAGAAGAGAGGATCCAGAAATAAATCCACACATCTTTAGCGAACTTATTTCCGACAAAGGTGCCAAGAACATACAGTTGGGAAAAGATGGTATCTTCAACAAATGGTGCTGAGTACACTGGATATCTATATGCAGAAGAATGAAAATAGATCCCTATCTCTCGCCATATGCAAAAACTAAATCAAAATAGATTACACCTAAGAGCTGAAATGATGAAACTACTAAGAGAAAACACTGGGGAAGCATTCCATGACATTGTCCTGGGCAAGATTTCATGAGCAATACTTCAGAAGTATAGATAGCCAAAGGAAAATTGGACAAATGAGATCACATCAAGGTAAAAATCATCTGCATAGCATAGATGGACACAACCAACAAAGCGAAGAGACATTCCACAGAATGAAAGAAAATATTTGCAATGTACCCATCTGAAAAGGATCAATAACTAGAACATACAAGGAGCTCAAACAACGTATTAGGGAAAAAATAATCTGATTAAAAAATGGGCGAAATATCTGAATAAATGTTTCTTAAAAGAAGACATATCAAGGGTCAACAAGCATATGAGGGCCAGGTGCAGTGGCTGAAGCCTGTAATCCTAGCTCTCTGGGAGGCCAAGGTGGGTAGATTGCTTGAGCTTAGGAGTTTGAGACCAACCTGAGAAAGAGCAAGACCCTGTCTCTAAAAACATCCAGGTGTTGCGGCAGGGACCTGGAGTTTTAGCTACTTGGGAGGCTGAGGCAAGAGGATCACTTGCAGCCCAAGAATTTGAGGTTTCTGTGAGCTATGACCCTGTGACACGCTACCCATGGCAACAAAGGTAGACTCTGTCTCAAAAAAAAGAAAAAGAAAAAATGGTTAACATTTTTAGTCATCAGAGAAACGAGATATTTACCATCTCCTGGTTTTTGTCAAAAACACAGGCAATGCAGGTAAGGTTGTGGAGAAAGGGGTCCCCTCAGATAGTGTTGGTGGGAATGTCAATTAGTATAAGCACTATGGAGAACAGTATGGAGCTTCCTCAAAAAACTAAAACTAGAACCACCATATGACCTAGCAATCCTACTTCTAAGTTTATAACCAAAAGAAAGGAAATCAGTATATGGAAAAGATGTCTGCACTCCCATGTTTATTATAGCACTATTTACAATAACCAAGATTTGAAATCAACTTGAATGTCCATCAAAAGATGAATGGATAAAGAAATTGTGGTACATATACATAATGGAGTATCATTCAGCTGTAAAACAGAATGGAATCCTGTCCTTGGCAAAAGTATGGACGGAAATGGAGGACATTATGTTAAGTGGAATCAGTCAAGCACAGAAAGACAAATCTCGCATTTTCTCACTCATATGTGGGAGCTAAATACTACATATTAAAATAATTGATCTCATGAAAACAGATAGTAGACTTACAGTTACCAGAGGCTGGGAAGAATAGCAGGGAGGGGGGATAAAGTGGGGATGGTTAATGGATGCAAAAATATGGTTAGAATGAACAGTATCTGATAGCACAACAAAATGACTATAGTCAACAAGTTATAATATACTATGAAATAACTGAAATAACTGAAATAACTGCTTGATTCCATCAATTAGAATATTCCTAACACAAATGATAAATGCATAAGGTGACGTATGTCCCAATCACCCTGATTTGATTGTAACACAGTCTATGCCTGTAGCAAAACATCACATGGCCTCTATAAATATATACAACTATTATGTACCCATACTGATTAAAATGTTAAAAAAATAGTAAAGCCCATCATAAAATGGGCAAAGGACTTGAATAGACATTTCTGCAAAGAATATATAAAAATGGCATGGTCAATAAGCCCACGAGAAGATGTCCAACATCACTAGTCATTAGGGAAATGCAAATCAAAACCACGAGATGCCACCTCCCACTCATAAGGATGGCTACTATCAAAAAGCAGTAAACGGTGAGGATGTGGGGAAATTGAACTCTCCTGTACTGTGGTTGGACATATAAAATGGTGCAGCCATTATGAAAAACAGCACGGCAGTTCCTCCAAAAATTAAAAATATAATAACCATATGATCCAGCAGTTCCACTTCTGGGTATATTCCGAAACGAATTGAAAACAGGGAAAAGAATAGATATTTGTACATGCATGTACATAGCAGCATTATTTCACAGTAGCCCAAACTGTCAGAACAATCTATGACAGCTGACAGATGAATGAGTAAACAAATTGTGGTCTATATGTACATATATACAATGGAATACTACTTGGCCTTGAAAAGGAAATTCTGACATGGATTTACAACAAGGATGAACCTTGAAGACCTGATGTCAAGTGAAATACATCAGTCACACACAAACACAATATGATTCCATTTGCATGAGGTACCTAGAGACATAAAGAATTGCCGCGAAGGAGGGGAATGGGGCACTCTACCCAGGGCACAGAGTGAGACTGCCCTATTGTTTAATGGGTAAAGAATTTCAGTTTTGCAAGATGAAAAGAGTTCTGTAGATGTGTTACCAGCTATTTTTCTCTTTGCAGGGGGTTCTTGGCCTGATGATTCAAGAATGAAACCCCAGACCATACTAGTAAGTGAGAGGAAAAAGTTTATTTTACAGAGAAGGACTTAGAAGGGAATGATACCTCTAGCAGGAAGGGGGGGAATTCCCAAGTGGACACCCCTGAGGTCTTTTGTCTAGAGCAGTGATTCTCAACCTTCCTAATGCTGTGACTCTTTAGTACAGTTCCTCATAAGTAGCAGTGAAAATAATTTTATGGTTGGGGGTCACCACAATATGAGGAACTGTATTAAAGGGTCGCAGCATTAGGAAAGTCTAGAACCACTGCTCTAGAGATTCATATACTGCCTGCCAGAGGGTATGTTGGGAAGTGTATGTCATACTTGGCTAGAAAACATCCTGCCTATGTTGATTGGTGATGGAATGTATTAAATAATGAATGTGGTCCCAGGCAGAGCAGCAGGGTGTGTATTTTACACTCCAGGGGGAGTCACCAAGATAGAACACTGGTTAAGTTGCTTTTCTCCTATCTTGCTTATCTAGAGAGTGTGGTTTGGAAAAAAAAAAAATCTGCTTGCCCAGGCCTAGAAAACGGGGATCCCTGTCCAGCTCTGAACCAGGGAAACCTGTATCAGATGGTTGATGGTGACGGTGGCATTAACAGTGTAGATGTAGTTAATGCTACTGGATTGTACCCCTAAAAAAATGACTAAGATGGTAAATTTTGACACATGTATTTTATTATTTTACTCTATTTTATTTTTTGAGACAAAGTCTCACTTTGTCACCCTCTGTAGAGTGCAGTGTGATTCTCTTGACTCTGCCTCCCGAGTAGCTGAGACTATAGGTGCCGCCACAACGCCCAGCTATTTTTTGTTGTTGTTGTTGTTGTTGGTTTGTTTAGTAGGCCCAAGCCGGGTTCGAACCCACCAGCCCTGGTGTACGTGGCGGGCGCCCTAACCACTGAACTACAGGTACAGAGCCTTTACTCCCCTGGGATCCTAGTTCATGGCAACCTCAGACTCAGGCTCAAGCAATCCCCTTGCCTTAGCTTCCCCAGTAACAGGAACTACAGGCACCAGCCAGAAAGCCCAGTAAACTTTCTATTTTTCTATTTTTAGTAGAGACAGGTCTCCCTTTTGCTCAGGCTGGTTTCTTGAGCTCCTGAGCTAGGCGATTCAGCCGCCTCAGCCTCCCAGAATGCTAAGATTACAGATGTGAGCCACCGCCCTGGCCCTGTATACCAAATTTTAACACACCTTTTAATTTGTTGCCAATTAACTTACGTTCGTGTATGTCTCTAGAAAAACTCGTCATTTCCTCTTTGGAAAGCTTCCTAATATTGCAAGTCTAGCCGTTAAAGACAAAGACAAAATAAAACTGACTATTTCCAACTACCCTCAACGCACGGAGTACGCAAACCTCCCGGTCCCGCACCCAAATAGGACTACGTTTGTCATTATCCCCTTTTTAAAACTTAAGCTGACAATAGACTTCTCCGGTTTTATTGCATATGTTATTCAAACTTATGAAATAAATTAATAAGAAGAACATTGGTTTCGTATCCATTTCATGTATTTGGATCCTACGTAAGACTTCCTAAGCATAGCTTGCTCAGCAAAAAGTGAAAGAAAACCCCGGGAGTGAAACCGGCCAGCAGGGCCAGCCCCGCCTCCTGGGCGGGGCCAATGAGCGGCACGCGCGGGAGGGACGTCCAGCCACCTGCCGAGAGAATCGATAAGGACGCGCACGAGCCCGGCGCGCGTTAAAACGCTCGGCCGCTGCGGCAGGCGGCTCGCCATCTTCTCCTGCCGGCCCGGGCGGGTACCTTTCTGGAGAGACGGGCAGGCGACCAGGACGTGAGTCTGCACGGTCGTGTGTGTTTGCGCGGAGGGCAGGGCTGCAGATTCGGCCCGGCGGGTCCCGGGGGCGGGTGGCGCGGACGCGGGAGGCCACAGGCGCTACCCTGGGCTGGGGCCGCGCTCGCGCCAGGGGGTGACTTCGCGGCTGTTCGCTTCCCTGGGGCCAAGCCCCGGTCCCTGAGCTCCTGCGCCCGGTGGCGGTCCTTCGCCTGCCGCGGCGGAATGCTGTGATGTTACTTGGCTCCAAGAGCGGCCTAAGGAAAAGGCACAGCTAGTGCAAAGCGAGACCCGAAGGAACTGTGGATTTCGTTGGCTTCAAGTAATCTCTGAAAACTTTAAGCATAATTTGAACAAATACTGTCAGCAGAATAGCTCAGATTTAGTAGTAATTGTTTAAAAGTCTAAATCTATGAATTAAAAAAAAAACCCAAATCTGAGTGTAAAAAGTTAGAGATGCCATAGTCTGTATGTTTATAACTGGGTAACGGAAAACAACTCAGGTTTTCTGTATGTCAGTGATTGTGAAAGTGTGGTTCCCAGGTTAGCTTCATCGTCATCTGGGAACTTCTTAGAAATGCAAATTCTCTGCCCAGAAACTACACAGACACGCTACTTAAATTTAAAAACACCTGACTTTTTTTGCCGTGATACTTGTAGACTATTAGTGAAATTGACTTTTCTAAACAAGTTAGTCTTGCCTTTCCCATTACACGTTGTAAATTTGTTGAAATCAAAAACTTTTCTTTTGTGCCAATTTCCACTCAGTCTCCCTGGAGAACTATATTTTCTGATAGCTCTCTGGTAGCTCCTGTAACAACTCATTCTCCCTATTTCCTGCTGTATGGAGACGTGGATCCAGCAGTCCTCTCCATCCAGAGACCCTATCCTCTCTGAGAAGCCAATAGCACTTTTGCCCTGGAGAGGCAATTTCGGTAGTCATTCTGGGTTCTACCACTTAACTAGCCTACTGTCCTTGGGAAAGTTACTTGTTTTTCTAATCTATAAAATGAAGATAATAAGTATAACTTTCTTGACTTTTTTTGAGGATTAAATGAATACATGTAACAGTACTTGGCATAATAACAAAATATTAGCTATTAGTATTTAGCTATTACTAGTACCAAACCCTGAGGCAGATGAGAAGTGGTAAAAATAGCAAGTGGGGGAGAGAGTAGGACCCACTAACAAGTATTAGAATGACTTAGGTGTCTCCATTAAATTAAACTAATATAGAATGGTCACATTGCCCCTTAGAGTGTGATGTGTGGGCGTCAGGTCTGTGGTATCTCGAGGAGTTCGTTAGAAGTGCAAAGTCTCAGACCCACCTTAATCAAAATCTGTTTTTTTAAACAAGCTTCCCAGTAGGTTTATTTTTTATTTTTATTTGTTTAGGTTCGTTGAGGGTACAGAGAATTAGGTTACCCTGTTTGTATTTGTTAGGTAAAGTCCCTCTTATAATTGTGTCCCACCCCCAAGAGGTGTGCCATACACCTTAACTCCCCATCCTCCTCCTCCCTCCATTCTCCCACTCCTCTGGTTTCCCCACCTGCCTGGTTCCCCTACCTCCTCCACTTTGAATTGATTCGAATTTTTCTGTTTTTTTTTTTTTTTTTTTTTTTTTTTGAGACGGAGCCTCAAGCTATCCCCCTAGGTAGAGTGCCATGGCATCACGTTCACAGCAACCTCCAACTCCTGGGCTCAAGTGAGTCTCCTGCCTCAGCCTCCCAAGTAGCTGGGACTACAGGCGCCTGCCACAATGCCTGGCCATTTTTTGGTTGCAGCCATCGTTGTTGTTTGGCGGGCCCGGGCTGGGGATTCGAACCTTCCACCTTAGGTGTATGTGGCTGGTGCCTTAGCCGCTTGAGCCATAGGCGCCCAGCCTCGAATTTTTCTCTTATGTGGGTGTACATTAGATCATCTATTGGCTTCAGGTTTAATTTTTTTTTTTGGGGGGGACAGTCTCAATCTTGCCCAGGCTAGGTGCAGCCTAGCTCATAGCAACCTCACACTCCTGGGATCAAGTGATCCTCCTGCCTCAACCTTTTGAGTAGCTGGGACTACTGGTGCCCATGACACCTGGCTCATTTTTTCCATTTTTAGCAGAGATGGAGTCTTGCTGGTGTCAAACTCCTGAGCTCAGGAGATCCTCCCACCTCTTGAGTGGTAGGAATACAAGTGTGCGCTATCAAGTAGATATAGATACAGCTTTGTTTTGACCAAGTGTGAAATCAGTTGTAAGATTTCACAAGGAATTCCAACCTTAAATCAGAGACCATAGGTATCTGGTAGGGAGGCTTGAATTTCCAGCTGATTCTACTATTCTCTCACCATCTGGTCTTTAATTTCTACTGGTTAATCTCCAGCTTTGGTCAGGTCTCTGATCTGCTGATCATTATTGGAGAAAGTAACAAAGGTGCCAGTAGTCTGACTTTGTGAGTGTCACAGGCTTCTCTCACCTCTCTTTGTATAATGTTCCCTGTAGTTCTTTTTTCTAAATCCCCATTCTCCCATCTCGTTCTTCCCACATACAGTGACATTTCTAATGGAGTATTTCTCTGTCCACTTGATATCGTAACATGAGTTATGTCAGCTTCTTTTCTTTTTACTTCAGACCTTTTTTCTTTATCCCTCATTCATTTCTATTTAGGAAGAAGTGTATAATCTTGTTGCCTATGAACCTTTCCTATAGTCTTAATTTCATACACTTCCATCTACTTGGAGCCTCTTTTCAGTTTATATTCTGCCTTTGTCACCTAACCCCTCCCACACGCGCGCTTGTGTGTACACACACACACACACACACGGAAAGACTTTAATAGAGGGGAAAAGGAGAATGAAGACCGACCAGGTGTCAGCTCACTTCTACACAGTTGCAAAGGGTTTTTATTAGCCTTATCAGTATGGCTCAGTGGTTCTCAACCTTCCTAATGCCACGGCCTATAGGTTGAGAACTGCTGGAATTGTCACCTACTTTTTAACCACTTTGAATTAATTTTTTCCTTTTGCCTATTCTATGAAAGTCAGGTCATAAATGGCCAACTAACCAGTCCAATGGCTTTTTTTTAGACTTTATTCTTTTTAGCCTCTCTAAGGTATTTAATATGATTACCTTTTTTTTTTTTTGAAATTAAGCTCCTCCTTGGTTTCTATACATAGCATTTTTTTTGGCTTGCCCTCTATTGTTCTCATTAGTCTTCACTCTCTCCTCCCCTCTCCCACTTTTTTTTTTTTTTTTTTTAGTTCAGAAAGGCTCTAACTCTGTTGCCCAGGTGGAGTGCAATGGTGTGATTATAGCTCATTGCAGCTTTGAACTCTTTGGCTTAAGAGATCCTCCTGCCTTAAGCTCCCTCCCCCCAGTAGCTAAGAAGGTGTGCGTAGCCACACCCAGCAGATTTTTACATTTTTTGTAGAGAGGAGATGTCCTTATATGAGGAGAACATTTAGACACTGAAGTAGACAACATGAAGATATAGGCCACCTACAGGCCAAGGAGAGCAGCTTCAGAAGAAACCAACTCCATCCTCTAGAATTGTAAATTTGTTGTTTAAGCCATCCATAAAGACTTATGTTGTCCATTCTAGTCTCCAATTCCTGGCCTCTTGTCTCGGCCTCTCAGAGCCAAGATTATAAGCATGAGTTACCATACCTGGCTTTTCCTCGGTTTATTACTTAGCTGAACTCTAATTTTTCCCAATAAAGTATAAAGTTAGTATTTCTGAGTGTTTCCAGAGCATGGCAAGTATCTTAGTATTTTGGTTTTTACATTCTAGTGCAAAAATGGGGGGTTGCTTTGTTTCTTACTATCATTAGCTTTTTAAATTTATCACTGTATTTGGTTAATTCCTGTGTTCATCACTTTTCTTCACACATTTCCTCATTGTGGTCATACTTATTTAGCATATGAGGAGTATGGGTTGTGGACTTTCAGTCTTCAGGTCTGAAGAACTCTGTATTAGTTTGCTGGGGCTGCCCTAAGGAAGAATTACAAAATGGATGGCTTAAACAACAAATTTACAGTTCTGGAGGATGGAGTTGGTTTCTTCTGAAGCTGCTCTCCTTGGCCTGTAGGTGGCCTGTATCTTCGTGTTGTCTACTTCAGTGTCTAAATGTTCTCCTCATGTAAGGACACCAGTCATGTTGGATTGGATAGGCCCATCCTAAAGACTGCATTTTAACTTAATTATCTTCTTAAAGACCCTGTCTCCAAATACAGGCACTGATACTTAGGACTTCAACATGAATTTTAGGCCCCATAACCATATCTCAGTCTGGTGCTCATTTAAAAAAATGTTTAGTTTAATGTGAAATATTATAAAATGTAAGTGTTCACTTCAGTGGATTACTAAGAAGTGAACACCAATGTGAGTACCATTCAGGTTAAGAAAGAACACTGCCAGGATCTTACAGGCTTTCCAGTGCCCTTTCCCTTTTCTTGTTTTTGATCACAGAAGTTTTCAGTATTTACCACCAAGTATGGTGCATGCTGTAGTACTTTATATGGTATAAAATTTTCTTTTATTTCTGGTTTACTAGGAGTTTTGTTTTAATCATGAATGGGTTTATTCTGGTTTTTTTTTTTAATTTCAGATGAATATGAGGGCACAAGCCATTAGGTTATATAATTTACACTTGGCAGGTAAAATTCAAAGTTGTAGTTGTGTCCTCCACCCAGGGAGTGTTCCATATATCCATGCATTGTACCCATTGGATGGGAAGCGACTAAACTCCTTCCCTTCCCCCTTCTTGAATTTAATTGAAATATTTTCTCATGTGGGTCTGTGAGTGTTAATCTTCTAGTTTCAGAGTGGTAATTGAGTACATGTGATGCTTGTTTTTTCCAGTCTTTCAGAACTTTGCTTAGGAGAGTGTTTTCCAGATCCACCCAGGTTGTTACAAAGAATGCTAAATTTCCATCTTTTTTAAAGGGATGAATAGTATTCCATGCTATACATATGAAAGTTTATTTTATTCAATTTTATTTATTTATTTTAGACAGA